GGGGGGGGCAGCCCATGCGCGCCTGGGATGCCCCCCCGCCGGCTTCCCCCGAGGCTTTCAAAGCCGCGGAGGGGCTCCGGCGGCGGTGCATCCGGCGTACAAGACGACCCCCGATTTTGGGGGGATGTTTTTTAACATCAGAGGTCGTCTTGTACGCCGGAATATACGGTATTTAGTTCCAATTTTCCCCTGAGTGTCTTCTAAGAGCCCAGTAAACAATGGAAGTGTTGGTAACGCTGCTAGACAATATTGACCTCCTGTGGTTTGGCAAATTCTATGGTTCATCACCAGTCAGGTCCTGAAGGTACTGGACAAGAGAAGTTCAACCTGTAGTGAAAAGACGACAACATTTTCAGGTTGCTCTCAGTCCCCAGAAACTAGACACTTACCTTAGGTCAATTTGTACTCACACCAAATTTTAGGCAGTGGAATAGTAAACAATATAAAGACTTATTAATTATGAGAAGAAATGAGAGATTTATTACAAGGTTAAAGCAGACTACCATATATACACAAATGAGTTACACTATAGAGCAAATACTCTCAAACTTCATGGCACTGCAACCTCCTTCTGACAATAAAAATTACTATATGACCCTCCCAAGAAGGGGGAGTGGAGCCTGAGCCTCATCAAGCCCCACTGCTTGGGGCAGCAGGGGTAAAAGAAAGCCTGAGACCCTGTGCAGGGGGCCCAAAGTTGAAGCCCAAGGGCTTCATACACAGGCAGGGCACCTGTAATCTAAGCCCTGAAACCTACAGCTGACGTCAATACCTCAGCCCTGAGCCGTGGGGCTTCTGCTTGGGTGTTGGTCTCAGAACCCAGCAAGTCAAGTGCAAACACTAGTGACCACATTAAAACAAGGTGGCAACCTACTTCAGGGTCCTCACACAATGTTTGAGAACCACCACCCTACCCCAAGACCTCTATCCACCAAACAATAACCCTAGGTCCCAGTCCTCAATCCATAGGAGCCCTAACCCTAGGATGGGGATGCCTACCCATGAGGACCTTAACACTAGGACAGGGATGCCTATCCATAGGAATCCTGACTCGAGCACTAAGATCTATACCCACAGGAACCCTAATCTTAGGGCAGGAGTGCCCATACGTAGGAACCCTAACCCTAATCCCAAGTCCCCTACCTGTCAGAACCCAAAACCTAGGATGAAGATGCCTAACCATAGGAACCCTAATCCTAGCTGCAAACCCCCTTCCCATCCCTAACCCTAACACCAAGTACTTCACCCATGGGAATCCTAAACTGAGGGTGGAGATGCTTACCCATGGGAACCTTAGCCCTATACACAAATTTTCTAGGGTAGTAGCTCTAATCGTAGGGCAGGGATGTTTACCTATGGGAACCCTAACCTTAGCCCAGCGTTCCCTACTCATAGAGCCCTACCGTATGGTGCGGATCCTTACCCATAGAAACCCAAATTTGAGCCCCAAATCTTCTGCCAGTAGTAAGGTGGGGATACCTACCCATGGGAACCTTAGCCTTACCACCAAATTTCCCGCTAGTAGTAACCCTAACCCACGGGTGGGGATGCCTCCCTGTAGGAGAGATAACTCTAGCCCCAACTCCCCTATCTGTAGAAACCCTTACCCTGGCCCCAGATTGCCTATGCAGAGCAACCCTAACCTTTGTAAGAGGATGCCTACCATTAGGAGCCCTAATCCTAGCCCCAAGTCTGCTACCCAGAGGGAATCTAATTCTAGGATTTCAAAAGGTGACAGTCTGAATAATTGGTCATCTGTGAATATCTTTTAGGGCTAACACTGCGTGGTCACGAATATCTTTGCTTCTGGGTTATAGCTCTCAATCCAAACAAGAAAAAAAATGGGGAAAAAAAATCTTTTTAGCTCCTTTTTTGCATTCTTCCAGAATTCAAGCTGATGTGCCAAGTACTTATGCATATAGCCCCTTCAGGGTGAAGGGGCAATTAACAAAGGGTTTGTTTTATTGTGTCCAAAAATGGCCCATTTAGTTTTGATGGGCAGGAGATGACCTCTCCTGACTAGATTCAACAGTTTCACAGCAAACATTTTTTGCCATTATTAAAGTAGAAACTTATATACTGCCTTACAGCAGGTTATAAAGATATTATAAGTGATATAAATGCATGAAGCAACTTATGACAATGTTGTTAGACTTCTTGAATTGTTTGTAAGTTAAAAACCCATCTTGGCCTGGCTAACACCCAGGTGAAACAGACGGTTTTCAGCAATGAATTTGCCAGTGGTTGGCTGAGGCTTAAAGCTTTGGGAGGGGCTGGGGGCTGGTCTGCCAGAGTCACAAATCTATGCACATAAGTCTGTAATTTGCTTTAAAAGAAGTACTGTGTTTGTTGAGATTGGGAGACCAACAGTTACAAACTCTGGATTCTATCATGTTTTGGGAATCAGTGGATGTTAAATTTTAATGTTTTGTGCCATATTAAATGCATGACACAAGAAATCAAGGGCTTCATTCTCCGCTGCTTTCCTCCTTGAGTAGTCATTCACACTTGTGCTAAGTGGGAGTAAAACACCACCATATCAGAAGGGAAATATTTTGCACCTCCATTGTGCATATTTGGCATAGATGTAATTGACTATACAAAAATGCAAGACAGTGGAGAATCATTTGTTTCTTAGGATTAGTCACAAAACATGAGGTTCTCTGTACCTGAAGCAACGCCTTGTGAATGGCATTATTAATATTAATCTGTGTACTGTATAAAGTCAAATTGAAGCCTAGCTAGAGCTTTGTTTAATAAATTATCAGTGAATATATATTTCTTGTATACAACTCTTACATAAATGAGATTATACTCATTAGGATTACTTTACTGAAATATGCAATGTTAATGTATGTCATTGCAAAAATCAGTGGGAAAATCAGTTAAAATCATTAATGTATTGTGTCAGTTATGAACCTTTAGAATTTTTAAAGCCAAGGGCCAGATCTTGAGTTTATGTAAGCTAGCAAATCTCTGTGGAGTCCATAGAACTATGCCAGTTTACATCACTAAGTATCTGTCCCCAATAGCTCTTTTGCAGTAATTCAATTACATTCATTTTGGTGTGTTTAGAAAGCATAGATTGTATATTTGCTTTGATGCTTCTAATCAATCTTTTCTTTGTCTTTCAGAAAAATGGATCTACTAGTTTTGGCTCCCAGAAACCAGGATGAAGATATAGTAATATTTAGTTGAATACTTTTTTCCTAATGTTTAAATAACCTATGTAAAAATATTTTTGTTAGGAAATATTCTAAGTATAATATTACTAAATAGTCACTATAGGAACATAGTCAATGAGACTTAAGTTGACTTATATATACTTCCAGAAAGCAACAAAATATATAGTTCAGTAAGTCCATAAGATGTATGAAACAGTTATTTCTACATGTGATTTAGCAAAAGTCGAGTAACCTTGAAAAGTACCGTATGAAAGGCCTGTGAGTTTTGAAAGACCTGTTTTATCAAAATGTCTGGTAACAAATAAAAAACTGTTAGCTTTATATGCTATGTTTTTTAAACTGATACATTTATGTATAATATATTTTTTTAAAGCAGTGGTCTTATGGCTATCCAATACAATTATAAAATCTCTACTCTGCATGACATTACTGTTATACACAGTCTCTTACTTTTGCAAGGTGGTTAGGCCAACATCTTGTGTCTACTAATTGTAAAGGACATAAAAAGCACTTGTCTTGGCACAGAAAATATATTAAAGAAATTAAAAGAATCGGTCATCATTTGTTACCATACTTCTGTTCACGAAGAGTCAGCAATAATCGGCATTATTCACAGAGAGTCATAAGTAGTTCAGTGATGTATTGAACTACTGTAATAGGTTTTGGCTCCTAGCATCCTGTCTTGGGATTTTTGATTCATCTTTTAGAGGTTGGGAACTTTTTTTGGGTCAGGGGATGCTGACCCATAGAAAAATCAGTCAGGGCCCACACACCAGTGAGAAGCAAAAACGAACAAACAAACCCTCACTGATGTGGCCCCCGACTGAGAAGGAGAAAGACACTCCTCACATTCCTGAGCCTAGGGGTACCCAGACTTGTAGATTTTGTGTGCTCCAGCCCTACAGTGTGTGTGTGTGTGGGGGGGGGGAGGCTGGAGTGCCAGTGTAGGCTCCCCAATGTTGTGAGGGAGGAGGAAAGCCCTGAGCCTTGGGGGTTGGATCCAGTTAAGCTGGGGGCCTCATCCAGCCCTCAGGCCTTATGTTCCCCACCCCTGTTTTACATCATTAACGTTATTTGACATTATTAACATTATTTTTTCTCCCTTGTGTCTCAGTGGAAAAGCATTGATCGAGTGTGACTATCAAAGAATACTTTTTAAAGAGATACAAAAATAGATATGGAAATCAATTGATTCCCAGACAAAAATGTACTAGTGAGAGGCATATATAGCTGAAAGAAATACCTGGGTACCTTAATTGTCAGTTGCTACTTAAACTACTTGGTAATCCAGATAGAAAAACATGAGGGCTACGTCTACACTGGCCCCTTTTTCGGAAGGGGCATGCTACTTTTGAAAGTGGGAATAGGGAAATCCGCGGGGGATTTAAATATCCCCCGCGGATTTAAATAAAGATGTCCGCCGCTTTTTTTCCGGCTTGGGGAAAAGCTGGAAAAAAAGCGTCTAGACTGGCCCGATCCTCCGGAATAAAGCCCTATTCTGGAGGATCTCTTATTCCTACTTCCCCAAGCCGGAAAAAAAGCGGTGGACATGTTTATTTAAATCCGCGGGGGATATTTAAATCCCCCGCGGATTTCCCTATTCCTAGACGCTTTTTTTCCAGCTTTTCCCCAAGCCGGAAAAAAAGCGGCGGACATCTTTATTTAAATCCGCGGGGGATATTTAAATCCCCCGCAGATTTCCCTATTCCCACTTTCAAAATTAGCATGCCCCTTCCGAAAAAGGGGCCAGTGTAGACGTAGCCTATATGTAGTGGAAATGGAGTGGGTTCAGAAAGTAAAATAAGAAAAGAACAAGTTAAAAATTACTTAAACAAATTAGATGTTTTCAGGTTACCATGGTTTGATGACATGCATGCTAGCATACTCAAGGGGCTGCTGAGGAGATAACTGACCATTAGCTATTATCTTTGAAATCATGACAGATGGGAGATTCCAGAAGACTGAAAAGAGAAAATATAGTGCCCATATATAAAAAGGGAAATAAGGAAAATCCAGGGAATTGTAGATTAGTCATTTTAACTTCTATACCAGGAAAGATAATGAAGTAAATAATTAAGGAGTCCATTTGCAAACATTTATAAGATAATAATATTATAAGTAACAGACAGAATAGATTTGTAAAGAACACAGCATGTGAAACTAACCTGATAGCTTTCTTTCACAGGATAAGAAGCCTTGTGGATAAGGGGGAAGTGGTAGACGTGGTTTATTTGGGCTTTAGTAAGGCATTTAATACAGTCTCCTATGACCTTCTCACTAACAAGCTAGGGAGATACAACCTAAAAGGAGTTAGTATACAGTGGGTACATAAGTGGTTGGATAACCATTCCCAGAGAGTAGTTATGGTTCATAGTCTTGCTGGAATGACATAATGAGTGAGGTCCCCCAGGCATCAGTTATGGGAGTGGCTCTGTTCAATATCTTCATCAATTAATTAGATAATGACATAGAGAGTATACTTATAAAGTTTGTAGATGATACCAATCTGGGACAGAGATTGCAAGTGCTGTGCAGGATAGTATTTCAAAATGATCTGGACAGACTGGAGAATGGTCTGAAATAAACAGGATGAAGCTCAAGAAGGACAAATGCAAAGTATTCCACTTAGGAAGGAACACTCAGTTTCACACATACAAAATGGCAAATTACCTAGGAAGGAGTCCTGCGGAAAGGGATCTAGAGGACATAGCGGACCACAAGCTAAATGGGTCAACAATGTGATACTGGTACAAAAAAAGCAAATATCATTCTGGATGTATTAACAAAACTGTTGTAGGCAAGACTCGAGAAGTAATTCTTCCACTCTACTCTGCACTGATTAGGCCTCAATTGGAGTATTGTGCCTGGTTCTGGATGCCTGATTAAAGGAAAGATGTGGACAAATTGGAAAAGATCCAGAGAAGAGCAACAAAAATTATAAAGGTTTAAAAAACATAACCTATGAGGGAAGAGTAAAAAAATGGTTTTGTTTAGTTTGGAAAAGAGAAGACTGAGCGGGTACCTGAAAGGTTGTTACAAGGAGAGAGAAAAAAATTTCTCCTTAACTTCTGGTGGTAGGACAAGAAACAATGGACTTAAATTGCAGCAAGGGAGCTTTAGGTTGTACATTAGGGAAAAACTTCCTAACTGCCAGGGTGGTTAAGCATTGAAATAAATTGCCTAGGAAGGTTGTGGAATCTCCGTCATTGGAGGTTTTTTAAGAGCAGGTTAGAAAAACATCTGTCAAGAATAGCCTAGATCAGTGTTTCTCAACCAGTGGTACGAGTGGTAGGAGTACCCATTAGGGGTACTTGAGAGACGTCTGGGGTGTACATCAACACAACTGAAATTAGGAGAAAACTGAATTTTTGTTTTAAGTTTTACAGTGTTTTATTATTTTTGTACTTTTTACACCCAAAAATTTCATCGCCCACCTGGCTATGATTAAGTTGTTTAAACTAACGTGTTGCAATGGTAAGAAAAAATGTGTGTCTGAAAACTGTAGGTATGGGGGTACTTATAATTTTTTTTAAAAGGGGTGCTTTATAAAAAAAGATTGAGAAACACAGGCTGATGGTGTTTGGTCCTGCCTTGAGTGCAGGATACTCGACCTGATGGCCTTTTGAGTTTTCTTTCAGTTCTATGATTTTATGAAATGTTAAAATTGAATGGACTAGGGTTTGCAATGTGGTCAAGCAGAAAGAAATGCAAGTCATGTGTAGTGTTGTTGTATCATGCAAGCAAGGTAGTAACAAACTTCAACAGGCCTTTATTTACCAAAGATGAAACCTCTTTACAAAGCTGCTGCTGCTCCTCTCTGTAGTTCTCACTCTGGCCTGGCTCATCTCCTCCCCCCTCCTTCCTGTTTCCTGTGCTTCCAGATTCCCAACAGCCAGTGCTCCCAGTTCTAATAATTACAAGCAGCATCTAAAACACCACATTCCCTCCTCTCTTAAGAAGCTCTCCCAATTATAAAATAAACATTGTTCTAACCACAGCAACAAATATGGAACAAGACACTATACTGTTGGCAGAAATATTACACTGAAAACACTGTAAATACTACACAACATAGTCTGTAGTCCAGACAGGTGGTCATCTAGGTCTGACAGACCGTCTCTCAAACCCCAGTTCCAGTGCAATGTCTTGTTGTGTTGGTGCTACGGTGAAGTCATACAACGTGGGCTGGGTGTTGGCATCATCTCCTCTTGGTGCATAGGCAGGTGCAAGATAAGAAGCATTCCATACCCGCCCATCAGAAAGTCGATAGGTGTAAGGTCCTTTCTTCTCTATGATTTTAAGAGGAGATGTGAATTTATGGTCCCCTTTCCGTAAAATTCCAGGTTTTCTTACTCTAACGAAGGAACCACACTCAAACTTAGGTTCCTTAGCACCCCGCTGTTTGTCTGTGAAAGCCTTATACTTTGCTTGCTTCTGTTCAACTGTTTTTCTCAGAGCATCCTCATTTGGTGCATCAGGTCTCGTCTTTAACAATCCAGCAATGTTCAGTTTAGTATTCATCTGTTTTCCATGCAGTAACTCTGCGGGTGATCTTTGCATTGTAGCATGTCGTGTAGTCTTGTAAGCTTTCAAGAAATCAGTAGGGAAGGTTATCCATGAACGCCCTTCCAGTTTAGCCATTTGCAAACTCTCTTTCAAACTTCTGTTAAACCTTTCAATTTCCCCATTGGCTTGAGGATAATACAGGGGCGATCGTCTATGTAAAATGTTTCTCTCTGCTAGAAAAGTTTCAAATTTCACAGAAGTAAATTGACTACTATTATCCGAAACCAATTCGGGGTTACCTTCCCTGCTAAAAACTGTAGAGAGGAACTTAATTACTGTAGCAGAAGAAATTTGTGATGTAAACACCACTTCAGGCCATTTGCTGAAATAGTCTATTAAAGTGATGGCATAATGACAGTCAATTGGTGCAGTATCAAAGGGTCCTACGATGTCAATCGCAACTTTTTCCCATGCAGAATCTGGAAGAGGAACAGGCTGTAATGGTGGGGTACATGTCAATGCCGTCTTATCATGCATTTGGCAAGTGACACGGGATTTTATGATTGCTTCAGTGTGGGAGTCCATCCCTGGTTCCTTGATGAGTATCGTGTGCCAGGTATGAGTTTTGACTGTAATTCTTCTGGCACAAGTAGCCGGTGTGTACCTCGTTGCACACAGCCATCAATCAAAGAAAGTTCATCCTGAATTCTAAAATAAGGCAGCAAAACTGGATCAAGATTTTTAGGGTTCCTGGGCCATCTCTTTCTCAGAAATTCTCATAGCTTTTGTTGAATTGGACATGCCAAACAAGCAGCTTGGAATTGCTCTCTTGTTACTGCAGTAAAAGTGCTTGTAATAAGTGCAGCTACTTCATCCTCATCCTCCAGGGAACCATCTGGTGAAGACAAAGGCAGGTGAGAAAGGCAATCAGCTATCACATATTGGTTTCCAGGTTTATATTCCAGGTCATAATTGAAAGAGAGTAGTCTAGCAGACCATCTAGCAATACGATTCCCTGCTCTTCCCAGTCTTTTTGTGGTTAGCAATGTTGTCAAAGGGCTG